TTGGGGAGTCCCCAATAGGGGGTCGTATTTGGCCGCCAGGAGGGGGGGGTCGTATTTGGGCTGGGAAAAATTTATTTTGATAGTTGATTTTTCTCGCTTCACGGACGTTGTAAAGGGGGGGGGGGTCGTATTTACTTTTTGGCCTTAGGAGTGGTGGTTGACTTTTCGTGATTTTCCTGTTTCATGCGTACTATACCCCCCCCCCGCTCGACAGCAAAATTTTTGGGAAAAAGTAGGGAAGTTCTCGGGAAATTTTGAAAAGTGGCAGGAAGTTGGGGAAAATCTGAAAATTGGAAATAGAAGGGGGGGGGTCGTATTGTCTCGCGGCTTTTCCTGTTTCACATGTGCTATTTACCGAAGGGGGGGGGGTCGTACCAACCCCCAAAAAAAGGAGGGGGTCGTACAGACTCGACTAAAATCCCCAACCAATGATGTGCCCTGACTGTAACACCTAGAGAGAGGTGATATCTTTGTCCTTGATGTGCATTATTGAATTAAATAAAATTCTACTAAACAGCCATCGCTCTTTTGTCAAATAATCCAATAAAAATTTTGCAGTAAACTATATAGCTTAATTATCTCAACTTAAAAAGATGTGATTTTTTTGAAAGATTGAGGTATAAGCAGTGTTGTTTTTCTCAGCAGCTTTGCGGATATCGAACTAGTGCTGGGGAAGGATTTAACAAGTGAGATGTTTGTCCGTATATTGATCGCGGACCGATGTGTGTGTATGGGGGGTCTCGCAAGGTGTGCAGCAGCGCATGCGCACCAAAACAACTGCACGGGTCACTCACTCACTCGTTCGTTCGGAAGTTACACACCCTCTTCCCGATACTCGGCTTAATCACCGCAACCCCCCTAACCATCGGCCACTCAGCACTCGCTAAACGCCGCCACCACCACCATCGCCAACCGCCGCCGCCATCGTCAGCCTCTACTAACGCCCATTGAACGATTTCCAACAGAATCAGAACCAATCGATTCGCCTTCATTTGTTCGCGTGCGGTGACGAGTTCGTTCAGTTTTGTTTTTCTGGGCGAAATATGTCGATATCCGTGAAGCAATTTTTCTCTTGCTAATTTATTCGTGAAATTTCCAGTGGCAAATTAACGCGGTTGGGAAGGTGGGGGATATGAAAAAAAATTCGATTCATTGGCTTTAGCTGATGCACTATTATGGACCAGTTTTTTTTGTGCGTAACTCGATATATAGGGTTATTTACTTTAATACTTCCTCCATATCACCTTTATTCACAATTTCATAGCGGATTTTGGAGGAAGATAACAATAACAATATATTTGGAGTATTATGCTGTCTCGGAGTCGTATTGGAATTTGAATGTAAAAACAAAACAGCAGAGGGAGCGAATTTTTTTTGCAAAAAAAAACTCCAAGGATCTGAAAAAATCTAAAAGGTTCCCCTGGAAATTTTTTTGTTCTTATTCATTTATTTCGCTTCTCGGATATCGCTACAATGCTGGTATGGTTGAACAGTGTAATAAGTGGATTACTTCCCTTTTTTGGACCCAAAATTGCCTCATTGTTCCCTTTTTTTTCTTATTTCTTCTTTTCATTCCCCTTTTCCGGGCTTTTATGGATGTCTTTGCGCCATTTTGTCGCAACCTTTATTTCTCAGGGCACGTTCTGTCGATGGGAAAAAATATGTTAAATACGGCCCCCTGCTCGAAATTTCGTCTTCTTGTACCCTTCCACCTCCCTCAACCCTCATCCTCTACCTTTCATATTCCTGAGTTACCCAACTTCCTAACACTATTCTGAAGTTTTCGGAGTTTTTTTTTCAGAATGACAAGATTTTCCCCTCAAAAAGCTGCCATAAAGCTGGGTGGTGGGGGAGGTATAACGCTTGTAAACAAAACCGAAAAAAGTCACCAACCGAAAACGGAAGCAGGTGCTATCTCTCTCCTTTCCCTTCAGCGACCAAATAAAACCTTCCCACCGGGGATCCCCAACGTGCCTCTTGCCTTGTTCCTTATACGATATTTTGGAGCTAGGATTACCTTGGAAGGCTACGGCACATTCGGGTGTTCTCTCATGTTTTTTGTCTCATGAAAGAAATAAATAAAACGCACGAAAAACGAAATAAGAAATAAGAAATAAATAAAGGAGTAATCAGTTAATACTGCTACTGAGCTTCGCTCTGAGTTAAACTGGTTTGTGAACACTTTGAAAAAATGTATGCGCTCGCGTTACGCCACCTATATGCTGTATTATTAAAACATCCGGAACAATATGATTGCGTTGGTGGAAGGCAATATTGCACTGTTTGACTAGGGAGGGGCATTTTGCCTCCTGCCGGATCCTTTTGCTGATTGATGCTAACTAACAGATCTTATTTGTGAGACTGTGAACTCCTGTGAAGCTGCGAAGTGGAATAAGTGACTACGGTCACAGAAGTTACATGTCTTCACAACATTACAGTCCCGCACAGGCTTCGCACAGCAGCATCTGTTGCCCCCTCCAAGCCGAATTGCGCGGCAGTGTTGTTGTGAAACTGATCTGAACCATCTTTCCATTTAAAACATCAAATGTTCAAGGGTTTGGAATTTTAGGGAGCTGATGCAACACGAATTACTTTTTTACACCCTTCAACTATTGCAGTAACATGAGCGTGTTTTACTTCAATGGAACCTGCTCCACGGCTGGCGACAACGAGAACGCAATGAACATTGAATTTTCTCTTAAAAATGCGTAGAAACCAACCGTTAGCAACTCGACGTTTCTGTTAAGACGCCTTTTGTAGAAATCGGGCCTCAAAGTGCACTCCACCCCAGGTGCGAGATCCTTGCCCACTTTCTAACAGCGATTAACTTGAATAAAACAGGAAATTATTAAAAAAAAACAGATTCTGAAAGTGAGCGGCAAGAAATTAGTATCATCGGGATATCAGCAAGCAAGGACTACTTTGATAAACAAAGTCTTAGTCGCATGTTCCCACAGTGCTCGGGGCTGTTTTTTTATTTTTATTTTTTGTTCACCTACATGCCAGCTAGAACATTTAGCTTCATAACTGGAACCCATCACCTTCATTTTGCCATCGTATGCCTTGTTTTTGAAGTAACAAGCAAGTGAAGCTGTTAAGCTCATAGAGCTTAAATCGGCTTTGTGTTTGAAGCGTTACAAGTCCTTTAATGCGGATTTCCGTTCCGTATTAAAATGTAATTAATGCAAGTGAAATGTCATGTTAATTTCAGCTTGACATTACCAAGAAACAAACTGCTCAAACTTGTTTTCGCTTGCATCTTATTTAATCTTCTAGGCTTATATAGAATCGTGTTAGGATCTTGAGCGATACGTATTTTGAAAACTAATCTGAAACTACCTAATCCTCCGTAATTCGGTCTTATCGGTTAAAATTTGTGATGTTTCACCCAGAGCACGCCATCGCTGTGATGATCACAACGGGGTCGTATTTTGCCGCGAGGGGGTCGTATTCGGTCGTTGTTGGGAGAGGGACTGCCAAAGATCTATACAACTACTATTTCCGATAGTTGAAAATGATAGTTAAATCCTGACGACTTCCCCCCCCCCGCTCGACAGCAAATTCTAGTGAAAAACCAGAAATTTTCGGGGAAATTTCGCAAAAACTGGTAGGGAGGTTAGGGAAAATCTGAGAAATTCTCCTGTTTCACATTGGGTGTATAACTGGAAAGTTTTTGGGAAAAAATGGAAAAGTGGTAGGAAGTTGGGGAAATCTAGGAAAGTGGTAGGTAGCATGTAGTGGAGTCGTATTTGGGGATGGAATTGGGGAGGGGGATCGTGTTTTCCAGGAAATGATCACAATGCAATGGCGTGCCCTGGTTTCACCGTTGTTACTCCCACATCGTTGAAGGAGGTGATACTCCAAAATATTTAAGGAGAAACTGCAAGAACTGTTGTTTTCGCTGGAGTACTTGAAGTAGTTTTCTAAAACATTTTCGTGTCTCTTAATATTTATTTTGCTATAGAGACTAGCTTTTATGCTTTTCCCCCCTCCCCAGGCTGCAGTCTGTGCATTCGTTTTGGTGTCGTCCTAAATTTTCCAAGTGCCTAGCTCCCGAGTTCCCCCTTTTTTTCGAAAAATCCCTATCTGGTACGACTCCGTTTCAAATACTGCCTACCATTTTGCTGACTATTCCCAACTTCTTACCACTTTCGGAGTTTCCTCTTGAGAATTTTGCAGATTGTCCTAAACTTTCCCCAAAAAACTGCCGTCGAGCGGAGAGGGAGGGTTGGGGGGTCGGAGTATAATAGCGCCTATGGAGCAGGTGAAACAGGAGAAACCTTCAGAACTTAATAACGGAAACATTCTACTCAAGCAGATACAACCACCATCGCCCTCTCCAAAAGCCAAGTGCGACCCCCCCCCCCACCTTCCTCGCTGGATACCCCTGACGTACGACATGCCCTGTTACTGGTGCTTCTCACTGTTGTTAGACCTTTCCATATATCGTAGTTGATTAGCACCTGAAAAAATGAAAAAGGAAATGCGATACTGATGGGAGTTCTTTTACTAGTACCACTATTTACTGTAAATTCCAAGTTCTAGACTCAGCTCCAACTGTAGAACCAGAACAAAAACTATCTACTTTATTGGTTCTTACTGTTATTTTTTCACCTTTATTTTACTACGACTGCCTTACGACCTAATTCTAAATGCTTTTCAAAAGATCGCTCGTTTTAAGGCGTGTTGAGAGCCACTTCTTGTTTTTATTCCTGGTTATCGTAATTTGAACTTTGGTCGTCGTTTTTAGCCACTTCCATGTTTTGCTGTATTGATTTTTGTTTGTTATCAATCGTGTTGATAGGTGATCTTGTGTGTTTACGCTTTCTCGCGGAAGCAGTGCAGTTCGTTCACCCTTTAAATTTTTCACCGCTAGCCTTACAATTAGTAATTGTTCGCTTCGATTTTCTTAGAGTTGTTTGCATGCAAAGTTCAGTACATGTTCCTTTTCAGATGGTATACTATTAACCTGCGCCCAACTAGAGTAAAAGTAGCAAAACATGGATGAGGGCGACGAGTATGTACCGCAGATGTCGCAATTGGGCGACTATGGTGGAATGGGTGGCATGGGAATGTCGCAAGGTTTGTTTACCTGACCGCTTTCTAATTTTCGATTTCCGCTTGACTAGCACTTTTACATGTAAAAAAATTGGGCGCAGACGTCTTGGGGGGGGCATTTTACACTTTCGACTTCCCACTGTCGTGTGGAGCCATGTAAAGATTTGTGAAACCTTGTGAATTCATAAAGTGATCCTTGTTGAAGTTTGTAGAAACTGTTTGTCAACTCCAGTAAAGAATATCTGTCCATGCTTGTTAAGCGATCAGTACGTCATTAAGAAGTAGTGAAAGTGCAATATACCCCCCCTCCCAAACCGAACTGCGCCGATAATTAAAGTTTGGCAGTTCGCTGGAACTATTGAAACATTTTGAATATTGCTCAACGTTTACGGTGCCGTTTATAGGCCAACCACCGTCCGTTCCCGGCTACCCTTCGATGAGCGGAGGTTTGACCCCGATGAATAATCCATACGAGCAACAAATGATGATGATGAGCCAGCCGTCGCAACCTGTACAAAAGCCTGCGCCAGCATCGAAAAGTCGATCTAAGAAGAAGGTGTGCTTTCAGAGTTATATTAATGATTTCTCGGCACTAATTACACTTTACTGCATCATACTTCAACATATGAGCCAGGCACCCGTCTAGATTCGGTCCAGGTTTTAAACGTAAGTTTCCTCCGGGGGTTAACCTGACTGAGAATTTTTTCTCGATGACAGTTGAACCCTGAATACGAATTCCGCACGCGAGGTTCGAAACCGCGTGATATATGCGCTATGGATGCCAGTACGAAAAATGTCCTCTTGCGCTGGCGCCAGGCATTGTCGTTTAGGATGGTACAATGTTCTCGTGGCTAATGCCGTTTGGACTCCAGAAATTTCGGCACCGAGCTCATTTTTAAATTGCCTAAGTCACCAAATCCGCTAAAAACTTGTATGTAGGGGTAGTTTAACATCCTGATTACGAATATGACATTCACTCTTGTCGCTGGCGCTAATGGATGACACTACGATTATCTGCGCTCTGCTAAGGCTGAGCCCAGGAGGTAATCGTAGTGTCCTCTCTTGGCGCCAGCGACAAGAGTGAATGTCATATTCGTAATCAGGATGTTAAACTACCCCTATATACAAGTTTTTAGCGGATTTGGTAACTTAGGCAATTTAAAAATAGGTTCGGTGCCGAAATTCCTGGAGTCCAAACGGCATCAGCCTGTTCTCGCTCAGGGAGTCAGTCCAATCACGGGACACATCTTCTACAAATCCACCCCTTGAAAAGTTCGGTCGAGAAAGCGTCCTTGGTCCCAACTCTAAAGAGTGAGACAGTGAAGCGTAAATAGTGCCGAACTCTTCAGTGAGATTCACTGGTTTACATGGAACTCAAAATTTAATTTTTCAGCAAGAGATGGATCCCATGCAAAGCATGGCTGCTATGTCAAATAATCCTATGATACGGCCATCGATGCAGCAGATGGGAGGCATGTACCCGCCCCAGGTCAGCTTTATACTTTCCACTGGCGGGAGCGCGTTCATATTTCATGATCGTGTGATTGGATAGCGCGATCGAATGGAGCGATCCGATCGCACGGATTGCTAAGTATAACTCTTAGCTCAGTGTTTCGATCAACCAAGACAATAGAACCGTCGTTGTAGGTGTGAGGGACATTTGGTTAGGCAGCCTTCAGACTTCGCGACGGCAGCGCGTTCGACGATCGATGCAGTCGAAAGCGTGCGCATCGATCGCGCCGAATGCGCAACGAGGAGATGCACGTGCGCGAAGAGGTCTGAGTGCTCCTTAGGGACACATTGTACGATCACATGAAAGTGGATCCTTTCCATGTGCAAGGGGTGAAGGTTCGCTGCAGTGAATTGTGACCCTACCGTCACTCAGAAATGTGTGACAATGAAGGCAGAGTATTGTGATAGCTCGATCTTCCTTGTGTCTCTGCCCTCCGTTCGATAAATGATAGCGCATCCCGCAGCCGTGGCCTGCCATGAATTTGTGCTTGAACGCCGCGTAGATATGGTTTGGCGTACGCCCAGCCGTGCGTGTGGCATGGCTGGGGCGTGCGTATCGCGTGTCGATGGTGGGTGGAGCCATAGGAACATCTAGCTACCACAAGCCTTCAGCTTGATTACCGAACTAACTTTCATGCGGCAAGAGCTACACTTTTAACGTTATAGAACCTGCCCACCTTGCATATGGAAAAGAATCACCTTCAGGTAATCGCGCAGGGTTTGTTAAAAAAGTTTCTCACTTGAACTGATTGTAAGAAAGTTTGAAGTGGTATTTTTGAGAATTATTTTTTGATTTGAAATTGAATGTAATGTCAGAAGATTTCAGAGTGGACAAATGAGCATGTACGGTGGAGCTGCTCCTCAACAATCTCCGCACTTCCCTCCTCAAGGCGTTCCACCTGGTTATCGACCACAATACGCTCCTCAGCCTGGGTATCCCGGAATGCAGCAGCCAATGTACACGGCGCAACAAACTCAACAACAGCGACCGAATGCATACGCAACACCACAGCCAACGAGTGCCAATCATTACGGATATGGAGCGCCATCACAGAGTGGCTATCCACCACAACAGTACCCTCCACCACAGATGCGACCACAGTATCCTCAAGGGCAACAAGCAGTAAGTTGTCTTTTTTTCTGGTATTGTTGAACATGAAAAACATGCTTAACACAGAAAAAACGCGAACAAAATATTTAAAAAAAATGGCGCAGTTTGGATCGGGGCATTCTGCGATTTCGTTACTTCCCATCATCCTTTTGATTGCTTTACAAGAGTTTACAGGTCTTTGCAAGAGTTGACAAGTAGTCCCTACGAACTGGGACTGGTATAGCACTATAGTTTCACAAGATTTCACAGGTCTCCACATGATGCCTGGACACGTCGATGGGAAGTAGCGAAAGTGCATAATCCCCCCCCCCCCCCAAGACGATCTTTTGAGACTTTCGAGTCCTTGTGCAATAAAAGTTTTAGGAGCCTCCTCTTGTTACTTGTAACTTTAGAAATGGTATAATTATTATGTCCTCATTTTAGTTACCTATGCAAAATCAGTATTGGGAGCCTCAGCAGCATCCGTACTACCAGCAACAGCAACAACAA